AATTTTATTTAATAGAAATTATTGGTAAAAATTTTAAATATAAATTAAAATTTTAATTTTTTTAAATTTTAACTGGTATGTATTAATTTCAAAAATTAATTTAATATATCAGTAATAATTAAAAAATTTTATTTAATAGAAATTATTGGTAAAAATTTTATATGTAAATAAAAAATTATTGTTATTTAAATAAATTGTTGGCGTTAAGGTATTTTTCTTTCTTCGAAAGAACTCGTTTGCTTCTTCATCAACACCAAAAAAAATCTGACTCTAATTCCACTGATTTCTTGATTCTGAAGAAAAAAAAAAACTGAATCGAGGAAGAAGCAACCATCAATTTGCTTTTTTCTTTTTTTTTGACTTTTTGGTTTTTAGATCATCTCCTGAATCAAAAGATCACAGATCTATTTTATAAAACCTGAGCTGAGAGAAGAAAGCCTAATTCTTGGTTCTTTTTTTGTTGTTGTTTTGATTAAACTTCAATTGGTAAGATCCAGTGAAATCTTAAAATCACTTTTTTGATGATATTTTGAGGAAGAAATCGATCGAACAGGTGTTGTAAAAATTTTTTTATGCGGAGTTGAGGAGGGAAGAGATGATGAACATGTATAAATCGGTGGTGTATCAAGGTGAGGAGTTGTTGGGGGAGGTTGAGGTATACCCACAACTACAGCACGGAGGAGGAGAAGTGAAGGAAATCAGGATAGGGTACTTGTCGCAAGCTAGTGAGAGGTGTCCACCACTGGCAGTTCTACATACCATTACTCCATGTGGGATTTGCTTCAAAATGGAATCAAAGCACTCCATCTCTAAGGACACGCCGCTGCATCTTTTGCATTCATCCTGTATCAGAGACAACAAGGTACAGCCCACAAATGCTACACACAAACTTCACTTATAAAAAAGGAAAGACCTTTAAAGTAAAAATAGCAACTTTAAAACTGAAATACTGGAAAATTCCCAGAGAACTTGAACGGGACTCTTCTGGACCAGATGTAACTGGGACCCAAAGTTGAAATTTTTTATTTTTTCTGACAATTTCAGACAACAGATTTGTAGGATCAATTGATGGAACTTTGGAATTGTTAAAAGTTTAGTCCAGAAACGAGGTGAATTGATTTTGTGACTGAAATTTTATGAGAAATTTTCTAACTTTTTGTTGCCCTAATTTATGATAATTAATTTTGGATTATTTAATGTTTCCACATAGAGGGAAATCTGAATTTGTTATATGGAAATTATGAAATTTTTGGCAATTTTAGTGAACCCTAAAACTATAAGAACTTTTTCGACTTAATTAATGCTGCTCGGAGAACCAGATGATTTATTGGCTTGTATTGAGCAGAAGATGTTTGCTTTGTGAGTGTCTCTTTGATATTTTGAGCGCATGATAAGTTGGCTGCAGGAACTCGCTTTGTGAAGTGAAAGCTGGGTCTTTTATTTCCCCTCCTCTGCCTTCTTGTCTTACAGCTTCAAATTGCAATATTATTTTCATTATTGATGTGCTGTTTTCTCGTGTAAAATATTTTTTTGTCTCTTACTTTTACCTTTCTTTCTGCTGTTGTCGTTCTTGGATGTGAATAATGTGCAAAGGTTGATGGTGATATCATTTTTTATGGTTCCAGACAGCAGTAATGCCTCTAGGAGCAGAGGAGCTCCATTTGGTTGCCATGTATTCTAGGAATGATGACAGACCATGTTTTTGGGGTTTCAATGTTGCAACTGGTCTCTACAACTCATGTCTTATCATGCTCAACCTCAGATGTCTTGGAATTGTGTTTGATCTGGATGAAACTCTTATAGTTGCAAATACAATGCGTTCATTCGATGACAGAATAGAGGCTTTGCAGCAAAAAATAACCACAGAGGTGGATCCACAGTGTGCTGCTGGTATGCTTGCTGAGGTGAAACGTTATCAAGAGGATAAGATCATATTGAAGCAGTATGCTGAAAATGATCAGGTTGTTGAAAATGCGAAAGTGATAAAGACTAAGTCAGAGGTTGTACCGGCCTTATCTGGCAGCCACCAAACTATTGTCCGTCCACTCATACGATTACGAGAGAAAAACATTATTCTCACACGTATCAATCCACAGGTATGAATTTTATCAGTGCAAAGTAAAGATCTTTTATTCTGTTTTATTCTTGCATGCATCAATCCATTGTTCAGTTGTTCCTGATCTTTGTCTCCTGGCTTTCTATTCTGCATTGTTTTATCTTACAAATGAGGAAGTATTTGGTCCCTAACCTGTAGATGGTAGAGACATCTTTGTGTTGCATAATTTATTTTTGGTTTTGTAATTAATGTCAAGCATTAACAGATCTCTCTTTTAATCCATAGATTTGTGACACAAGTGTTCTTGTGAGGTTGAGACCTGCATGGGAGGATCTGCGTAGCTATTTGACTGCAAGAGGTCGCAAACGTTTTGAAGTTTATGTTTGCACAATGGCTGAAAGGGATTATGCATTGGAAATGTGGAGGCTTCTTGATCCAGAGTCAAATCTCATAAATTTGAAAGAATTGTTGGACCGTATTGTGTGTGTCAAGTCTGGTAAACTTTTAATGAAGGGGTCATATTTCTAATTTCTGATTTAATTTACATACCATGCTGGACCCAGAGAATGGACCCACCCACCCTAAGCTGCTGATTTGTCTTAACATGTTGTAATAATTCTTAAAGCATTCACAGGTACAAGGAAGTCATTGTTCAATGTCTTTCAAGATGGAATATGTCATCCAAAGTTGGCATTGGTAATTGATGACCGCTTAAAAGTTTGGGATGAGAAAGATCAGCCCCGGGTTCACGTGGTCCCTGCATTTGCCCCATACCATGCCCCTGAAGCTGAAGTATGAAGAATCATCAATTTTCTTACATTTTTGTGGCAACACACATGAAAACAGAACAATTTTCACAATCTCTTTTTGCAAACATTTAGTAATTATAACTCTTCTTATTGCAGGTGAATAATGCTATATCTGTACTGTGTGTTGCAAGAAATATTGCTTGCAATGTTAGGGGTGGCTTTTTCAGGTGAATTTTCTCTGTGCGGACAGTCACCATATGCTTGCTGGTGTTGTAACTGTAACTTTGGGTTTGAACAATTTAATTGTTCTATCTGCTTATGACTTCTAAACTTCTTTACGTGACAGAGACTTTGATGAGGGTCTTTTGCCAAAAATTCCTGAAATCTCATATGAAGATGATATGAAAAATATTCCTTGTCCTCCTGATGTGAGCAACTATTTAGTTTTGGAGGTTAGTCATGAATTTTGTTTTCTTAATTTATATGGTGTTTTAAATTTTGTCTGTCACCCATTTTCATGATTTTAAATCTTTCTGATTGAATTATGCCTATAGATTCTACATAACACTTTCTTTTTTCATGTAAATTTGCTTTGATGATCTTTCAGGATGACACTTCTGCTTCAAATGGAAACAGAGAACCACTTTCTTTTGATGGGATGGCAGATGCCGAGGTTGAAAGAAGAATAAAGGTAATCATGTTTCTTCTCTACTTTCTTGATATCGGAATGCATTTTCCAGTTTTGACTTAAATTTCTAAGTTTCAGTGATTTCTGGTATCTTTTTTTTAAATGGACATAAAACAAGTTTCTTCTGGTATTGACATTTTATCTCAGGAGGCCGTTTCAGTTGCTTCAATGGTGTCTCCAGCAGCCATTGGTCTAGATTCAATACTTGCTCCTTCTATTCAGTACACAATGCCATCCTCATCTGGTCCAATTCCACTGCCAGCAGCTCAACTGTCAATAACATCATTTCCCAATACTCAGTTTTCTAATGCAGCAATATTAGTTAAACCATTGGGTCATGTAGGGCCTCTGGAACCAAGCTTGCAAAGTTCTCCTGCAAGAGAAGAGGGTGAGGTTCCAGAATCAGAATTAGATCCTGATACTAGGAGGAGGCTTCTCATATTGCAACATGGGCAAGATACTAGAGAGCACACATCAAGTGAATTGCCTTCTCCTGTAAAACCTCCACTGTCGATTCCACATGTGCAGTCAAGGGGAAGTTGGTTTCCAGTGGAGGAAGAGATGAGCACACGGCAGCTGAAACCAACAGTTACTAAAGAATTTTGTTTAGATACTGAACCTATGCGTGTTGATAAGCACCAACCTCATCGTCCATCCTTTTTCCCCAAGGCTGAGAGTTCTATCCCATCTGATAGAATTCTTCATGAAAATTCAAGATTGCCAAAAAAGGTATGACCAACAATCAGAACATTTTATGCTGCAATATAAAAAAGTTAAAAGTTTTTTCTTCTCTGTGGAGAATATTGATTCCAGACTATCATTCGCTTGCAGGCAGTTTACAGAGATGGTCGGTTAAGGTTGAACCATATGGTGTCTAGTTACAACTCCTTCTCAGGTGAGGGCTTTGTTTATTATTATGTTTTATGGTACCTTCTCAGTTGAGTTGATGCAGTTCTTTGCACATTTCAATCATTTCCTGTGTTTTCCTTTCATGAGAGTTCATGAGAGAATGGAAGATCCACAATCAATTTGAGCATTCACAAGATTATCTTCCAAATAGGGCCAAGTTAGTATTGTTTGATTGGTAGAATATTTTGTAGTCAGAAATTGACTCTTATTTCTAATCCAGCTTTTGCATATGCCAGAATTCATGCATGTCATTTAAGTTGTTAACTTTTTACTCATACCATATATTTGGTTAATCCAATTAGTCTCCAAAAGAATGTCTTATCATTGCCTTTTGTTTGGGGTGTTGTGTAGTAGTTCTAGGTTATGGACATGGGTTAGATTTTTGAACTTGAGTGGTTGTAACATTGTGGGTTAATATTTTATAGGACGTTTTATAGGATAAGGTTTTTCTAGCAATTCTTTTATTGTTCTTGGTTTCTCAGATATAATGAAGTCTGATTTTGTGTATAATTCTGGGTTTTCTGTGTCTGGAGGTGAGGAGATACCCATTCGTCAATTCTATTCTAGCAACATGGATTTTGATTCTGAATCTGAGCAAGCTATTTCTAGTGGAGAAACCCCAACTGCTGTGTTACAGGATATTGCAATGAAGTGTGGAACCAAGGTACTATAACCAGTTAATATTGTGAGAAGATTTTGACCATAGCATTAGTTTAGATCTTATTTCCTCATGTTCTTTCTTAGTTCTCTTTTCTTACCTTCCAATTTATCTTTATTTTTCTTCATAAGCAGGTTGAATTCAGGCCAGCTTTAGTTGCTAGCACAGGGCTGCAGTTCTCCATTGAGGTTTATATAAATTCTTTGACTTGGAAATCTTTTACTTCTGCATTGCTGTAAAATGTGATCTGTGTACCTTGTTGGAATAGAGTAAATCTAACTTCAAGTTTAATTTTAGATGTCGGTTCTATTTTCCTCGCTAGAAAAATGTTTTCTAACCTACCACAAGGAATATAGACCTTGCTTTCAATTATGTGGTGGCATCTGTTAATTACTTCAAATTTTTGTTCTCTTTCAACATCATACTAACTTGCAACAGAAATTTTTTTTTTCTTTTGTTTGTATGCCGTAGTAACTATTTGGAAAAAATATGTCAGTAACAAGATTGAAGTTTAAGTGAATACACATAGCATAGAAAGATCATTTAAGATCTAATAGTGGATAATATTTTGGTTCATGACCATTTAGATCTTTTTGAATGCGGCCTTGTATCACCTAACTCTACTTGATTTTTCCCAATCCATGAATTGAGAGGTGGCATGTCTTCCTTTAGCCAATGTTATCTGTTTCCTTTTGTAGACTCAGTTTGCTGGAAAAAAAATTGGTGAAGGATTTGGTAGAACAAGAAGAGAAGCACAACAGCAAGCCTCTGAATGTTCTATAAAAAAATTAGCTGGTATGGTTTTTTGATATGTTTTTGCCATACATATATTTATTTAGCATTTATGCTCTTATTGATGTAACTGTGTAGGCCATTTTGGCACAGCTTACACTGTAGGAAGTACCTCCAGATCAAGTGTTTCTTGTCTGATTATTCTCAGTGAAAATAGTTTATTTCTTTCAAAGTCAATATATGAACAAAATGGATGTGACAGTTCTAAGAATATTAGAGAAATCAATGAGAATGGCCACAGGACAATCAAGATCTTATTCATTATGTGGAAGATGCAAATTTCCAAAAATATGGCCCTCAGAATTCAGATCCATTGGGCTACTAATGATTTAACTAATGATGTAGTGAAAGACAATCTCTAGTGAGTCAGTGACCTAGCTATGCTCCTTGAACTTGTGATGTAAGTAGGAGTGGAAGAGGAGTGGAAGAGGATAGACATTGAACTACAGTTCTTTCTTTGTTACAATTTGTTTTTTCAGTTGTGAGGAAGGTGGGTTTTCACTAAAAACAGTTGTTACATCTTATATTAAGCATTATAAACGTGTATGCTACTCTACATTGTGATATTCCTTAACCTTTGCTCCAAAGTTAACAAAAAACTTCCCTGCATATAAATCTATGAAGTGTGAACATTTTAGACTTGTTATGCTCTCAACTTGCCATGCATAGATTGCAATCTTTTTCCTTCTTAAAATGAATATTTAGTTGGCTTTTTCATGCTTCATTTTGTGCTCTATCTTAAACTTTTGTTCAGGGAATCTCCACAAAAGTTTGAGTTTGTTTTCAATCTTTTTTTACCACCTTTGACAGTGTTTCCTGCAGATATATACATGTCACGAACAAAGTCTGATTCTGGGAATGCAAGTTGGCAGATTAATGCAAACAATAATGGATTTCTTGGTACATTTGGGAATCATTCATTGGCTAAAGATGAATCCTTTTCATCTGCATCAGAGTCATCTAGGCTTGTTGATCCAAGGCTGGATAGCTCCAAGAAATCCGTGGATTCAGTCTCTGCACTTAAAGAATTGGTAAGATTGCTGGAACCTAAACAGTTAAACCTTTTTTTGCCTCCCTTTTAATAGAAAAGTAGTGTTTTGAAGTTGTTTCTAACTGGAGAGTACTTAACCTTAACTTTTCATATTTTGATAATTTGTTATGAATTTACAGTGTAAGATGGAGGGTCTAGGGGTGGCTTTTCAAGCACTGCCTCCATCTTCATCAAACTCGGGACAGAAGGATGAAGTGTATGCTCAGGTTTGCTCTTGAAAAACCTTTTCTTAGTCTTTGTAATTAACTTGAAAATGAATTTGTAAATTCTTTAATAGGATCAACATTCAGTTATCAAAGCTGTAGATTTCCACTCTTCCATTTAAAAATATCCTTGAAATTTATGGAAGAATGGAATATAGAAATCTAGAACTCTAATAAAGGGATCAAAATACTTCCTGGATTTATTTTCTCCACTTTTACATCCTTTGTTATTCTCATTTTGATTAAGGACCTTGTTCATGGTGGATTCTTTATGTCTCTCCTACATCCTGTGATGTTAAATTTGGTTTTCCTTGGTTTCTTAGCTGGTCTTTATACTGTTTAGTCAGTTGATTTTGCATGCAAGGAGAAGGTGAAAAAAAAAAAAAGAAACTTGACTGTTAAAAAAGTAAGATTGGAGACTTGAAGCATAACTGAGATTTTAGAGTTTAATTAATTTGATTTTTGAGTCTTTTATGATCCTTCGATGTAAACATGGATCATTTCTTTGTGGGTGTATTATGAAAAATGATAGGTCATTTGTTAGACATGGAAGCAAGATGAAAATTTTTGGAACATTCATAGTAATATATATATATATATATATATATATTACCTTTGACTCTTGATTATAACACTGTTTTGGCATTTAGGTTGAAATAGATGGACAGGTTTTAGGAAAAGGAACTGGGTTCACATTGGATGAGGCAAAGATGCAGGTAGAGATTTTGGTCTTTTATTTTGGCTTATAGATTTTATATGTTTAATATCCAGAATTTTCTTTAATTGGACTTTCGGTTCTACTGCCCTGTAAAATTTACACAATGTTGTATGATATCTTTCTCTTGACTTCTCAACATTCTTCTTTGTTCTTAGGCTGCTGAAAAGGCCCTTGGAAGTCTACAATTGATGCTTGGTCAATTTTCTGGAAAACGTCAGGGTTCTCCAAGGTGTGTGATCTCACATTATTATTCTCTTAGTAAAATTCCTCCCTTCCACAATTTTTTAAGGTTTATGGACCCACAAAATATCATGAGCACTCTGTTTGGTGGTTTATGCTGGTGGTTGGGTTCCATTTGACCCTTGGCCCTTCGTATCTTAAAGCTTTTGGGAACATACCAATAGGCTTAATAAGGGGCAACAGGAGAAAAACCTGTGGTTGCCTTCTGTTTTTTGTTGCCCTTCATTTTTGTTTCTCTACTGCCTCGTTGATTATACTGTCTTCTTGTTTATCAAATCTTTTAACTTCCTAATTCCCAAAAAATTCTTTTACCTTCCTGCAATATCTTTCTTAAATTCTATCTTATGCCTGATTCTGCGGTTGGACACAATTAATATATTCTAGGCCCTTATTCAACTAGTGAACGAAAAAGGATTGTTGTCGTTCACTCTTCTTATTAGGTCTACTTTTCATTATTGGACAAGGTCATTGCAAGGTATGTCAAGCAAGCGTTTAAAGCCAGAGTTTCCACGAGTTATGCAATGTATGCCCTCTTCTGCTGGTAGATATCCCAAGAATGCTCCTCCTGTTCCTTGAAAGACATAAAAACCCAATTTCTTCCCACTTTATATGATGACACAGCTGTTGGGACATCTGTACAATAACCGATGTATGCAAAGGACGAGAGCTTTTGAGATCCACTAGCCAAGTTGACCATCAACCATTTGGTTTCCTCCTGCCTTATAATGTTCTGAAACCCAACAGATTTCTCTCATCATTTCAAAGTCTCCTTGAAGCATGGTTGGATGTTTTGCTGCACACGGGACCGTTGTATGAGACAGACATCCATGTTTCTGAACTTCCTGTCAACTGCTGCATCAATTCACGCAACCAACCATCCAGCCAGAAGGATGATAACTCATTAACTCCTCATTATATCAGCTTGTCTCCTGGGAATGTTCAAGAGTCTGAAAGTGGACAAAGTGCAGCTATGTAGACCCTATGCTTCTCTCGAGTGCTTGATGCCCCTGGTGCCAAAATTGTAGCTGGGGTTTTGTTGTAAAATACTGAAAGTTTTTCCATGTCTTTAGAATACAGATTAAGGTTAAATTATTGTAATTTTTAGTAAATATAAGTTATACAAAATAATAGAAAAGTTTATATCAATTTTAGCATACCTGTTGCATGTATTGTTTTAATTATGATAAAATTAAAGTCAATAATTATTTTTTCCATATAATCTAATGGTTAAAAAGTGCAATAATAATTATATTATTAACTTTACTTTTTAGAGCATATGTTAGAAATTCTTAATTAATTACATCTTTTTATATTTAACTTTTATAAAATGACACAAAGCACAAAGATGAATCTCATTTTTATCATTAATGTTACATGTATATTTTTAATTAGACAGTAAATAAAATTAAAATTATTATAATAATCTTGTTTATATATAAAAAACACTTCTAAAATATGAGTTTCAATTGTTATGTTAAAAGTATTTGTTATGTCTTCTCCTAAGGTAGTATTGTTGAGCGAGCTATCCTTGTCTTGTTTTAGGTTTTTTTAACTAATTTAATGGTGCATTTATTATATTTTTTATAATTTATTTATATAAAAAATTATAAAAATAAATTTTATTTTAAACATTAATATCACATAAAATAATTTAATTAAATAATTATTATGAATTAAGTTAATTTTATAACAGATATATCTTTCTTTTCTTTTTTTTATCTTGGTTATACAAAAAGAGACAATTATCTTTTATTTTTTATCTCAGTTTTCTTGCATGTTATACAATTTAAATTTTGAAACTCTTACTTTCAACGGAAGAAAATAGTTACTAAATTACTTACATTATTGACAACATATATACTTTTTAATCTATATTTTTATAATACAAATGAGGAAGTATTTGGTTCCTAACCTGTAGATGGAAGAGACATCCTTGTGTTGCGTAATTTACTTTGGGGTTCGTAATTGGCTTCAAGCGTTAACAGATCTTTCTTTTTATCCATAGATTCGTGACACAAGTGTTCTTGTGAGGTTGAGACCTGCATGGGAGGATCTGCGTAGCTATTTGACTACTGCAAGAGGTCGCAAACGTGTTGAAGTTTATGTTTGCACAATGGCTGAAAGCGAGTATGCATTGGAAATGCGGAGGCTTCTTGATCCAGAGTCAAATGAGGACACCTTTAGTACTTTTCCTAAATATTCCTCGTTTGTGCGTTTAATCTAATGCTGCTTAATTTTATTTATTTACTTAATGCAGTATTTAGGGTGGATGCATTTAATTTACTATTATTATTATTTTTTTTAAATTTAATTTATACAATAAATGAGAATTTTATCTTATTTTATTATATAATTTACACGCTTACAATTTGTTAAAAAACTAACCCAACGTTAGTTATAAAACCCAAAAGACATATAAACCCCAAAAGTACAGGTACAATAATCATAACACACTTACTTGACTAAAGATAAGTGAATCAATAAAGTAATGACATATAATAGAATTGTCATATATGAGGTTTATAAATATCACTAATTACCTCCATATAAGGTAATTATTCAATTATACTTTTTTCTTTACAATAAATTCTATTGGGAGTTTCTCTCTTTAAATGGTAAAATATTACTAACTTCAACGTGTTTTTCAATTGTTGGTGCTGCTTGTAATCTCAAGAGTAGGAATTTCGTGAAGTTGCCCAAACACAATTCAAATCTATAATTCCTTGCTCCATACTAAACAGCTTGTATCATTAGCTACTTGAATGAACACAAATCTTTTCGTATCTTAATTATCAACTTAACCGTGTTAATCGTCAATCAACATGGTTTGAAACTGGCTGTCTTATTTGCGGCTGTCATACTGCATTGGTTTTGGGGACTAAACACTTTGGATTTTCTCTACCTTTCGCGGTTTATTGGTGAATTTCATGCGTGCAACCTTTCAACTCCTAGATCATCCACCCGATTTGTAGTGTTTAGACTGGTTTCTGGAAGAATTCATGATGCAAGCTGGTGTTTATAAATGTGGCAACAATAAGCACAGCATATTCGTTATAGATTTTGCTCATATGCATATATATACCACTACTACTTCTAACCTACCAGCTTTCTTGTTATATTCTCTTTTATAAGAAACTGACTTTTGCTCTCATGAACTTACCTTGACCAACAAAGGGGTCTCTTTTTGAAATAGTTGGAAGACATTTAGATACTCCAAATAAGAGAAGTGGAACAATAAAATTTTGGGACATGATCCTGCCTAAGAGCATAAGCCTGACCAGATTTCTTAATTTAAAATTCATCACTGAAATTAAAATATAACTGTAAATAATTGCTGGTATACACAAAAAAAAAATGTATAATCTATTTATACATTTAGCCAAAAATAAAAGTTAAAAGAACATTTAGCTTTAACTTGGTTAACTTCCTCATTTTTGTTAAATTGAATGAAACAAAATACCTTCCACCATTGTTGAGGCTCAATAGCAAAAACAGACTCTGGCCTTCATCTAGGGGTTACCCGAGTGATTGTGAGAGGAACGGAACTCATCTGATAGCTAGTTGATTCAGTAGATGACTTCTTCGAAGATGACCCTCCATTTTGAAAGAAACCAGGAGCTGAAAGTAACTTTTCATTCAGCCGAGTATTTTTTGAAAGCATACCAACAACCTGGCTCATTAAAGGCCTTCGACTTGCCACTGCTTGGGTGCAAAAAAAGGCTACTTTCATATACCTAGTAACTTCTTGCTCTGGAAATTCTCCAAGATCTGGATCCACTAACTCCATAAGTTTCCCCTTTTCATGGAGCTCCCATGCCTATTGAAGCAAAGAATGGTTGTCAAGTGAGAAGAGATGTCCATTAAAATATTAATACATGCTTTCCTTTGTGTCTCCAAGATACTTACTGACTAGCATCATTTATGTGCAACCAAAACAGAGAAAGGAACTCCAAAACATATTAAATAATGGAACAACAATGTAAGCCAGAAGCTAACAAAGTGAAACAAACTTACCCATTCCAAAAGGGACTTCTCCTTGCCTCCCCAGTTTGCCTTTGAACTACTACTGCCACTAATTATTTCAAGTATAAGGACACCGAAACTGTACACATCAGCTTTCATGGTTAACTGACCACCAAATGCATATTCTGGAGCCAAATAACCACTGCATTGAACAAATCAAGCTTGTCTGATTATCAACCAAGAAACTTCATTCTAGACAGTTCACAGAACACCAATGCTAATCGAACTTATTTTCCAAGATTTTTAATTCTTTCAGCTATATTCACAAACTTTTTAAGCGTAAGGGCTTGACAAGGCAGTTTCCTGGCTCATTTTTCCATTTTTCCTGCTATGTTGTATCTCTTTAGCATCAAATTTGTATAGGGAGTTTAGATGAATGCACCTCATCGCAACATATGTACACACATTTACATATGTTAAAATCTAAAGAAAAGTTAAGTCTTCTTAACTGTTGGTTGCAGCTATTGGTGTGTGCATTAAATATCTGTATAAAACGTAGCCTTTTTAATTCCAAGAAAGACAACTACTAAGCTTTATGTGAATTCTGTGTGTCATAGACATAACAGTTTCCCTAGAGAGTTTACCATGAAAATACTCAAAAAGGAACTCAAGTAGAACAGTAATCTGATATTGAAAAAAGAAAAGAAAAGATGCACAACGTACGTTGTTCCTGCTATTCTGGTGCTAATATGGGTGATGTTATCAGGGAAGAGTTTAGCCAACCCAAAATCTCCAATTTTTGGGTTAAACTCTTTATCAAGAAGTATGTTACCGGCTTTGATGTCTCTATGTACAATATGTGGCACAACTTCTTCATGAAGGAATGCAAGACCACTAGCAACACCCCTGCAAATTGCTGATCTTTTGCCCCAGTCCAGGTTGATATCTGCACTCCTCTTAACTGCATAAGTGAGAAGCACAAACAATATTTTAGTATACTTACTTTTTCATTAAGGAATGTGGTTCAATATTTCAAAAAAGTTTGACAAACTAACCTAACAATGCTTGATCAAGACTTTTATTTTCTACATATTCATATACCAATATCCGGTGAGCCCCCTCTACACAGCAGCCAATCAATTCAACCAGATTCGGATGCTTTACATTTGATATAGTTTTGATCTCTGTCAAAAATTCACGAAGTCCCTGCTTTGACTCAGTAGAAAGTTTCTTCACAGCAACTTTAGTTCCGTTTTCCAGAATTCCCTGGCGAGAAATGCAATATGGGGTAATAAGTAACTACCATCCTTGAGATATTTAGATGTCAACATAAGTGAAGATTTGCAAATGAAATCTCAATTACTGTGAATAACATCTGAAAATCTGTCTATTTATTACACTTTCCTCATTTTAAAAAGATTCCATAAGTCCATTTCTTCTTTTAGCTAGTTTTAGCTGGGACAGAAACTTCATAACACATAAACTATACCTACAATTCATAAATAGAGTCGAATGCATGGCTTTATTGTATGTCTGTGCATGTTAAGAATCTTTAGGTAACACTATCCCACAATAGAGATGTAATTTCACGGTTTTAGTATTGCCATTTTTCTAGGCATTCAGTAGGATCATTTAAGCCCAACCATGAACCAACTGAAACATCTAGAGCCAAAGTAAAAGTGAGAGTTTCAAGCAATTTCTGTCACAAAAGATATAATTGCATAATTTCAACAGTAGTATGATAGTTCAAACTGAAGTCAAATTAACCCTTTTCTTTTTTCTTTTTTTCACAAAAAGAATGAAATTCTAACCAAGCCTATAGAACCATATCCAGTGAAATCTGTTAACTTATAAGCACCTTGTAAACAATTCCAAAACCTCCTCGCCCTATCTTTTTGCTTAAGTGAAAATCATCTGTAGCAGAGCTCAATTCTTTGTAGGAGAAAACGTTGATGCTCCCAAGTATTTCCTCTGGTGGCACAAAAAAGAGAAGCAATAAGTCAATAACAAATAATAACCATATGGAATAAAAGAAGTCAAGTATGGTAACAGTGAACAATAAAAATGTGTTATTGTATAGAATACGCTATACATCCTAATCCTATGAGTTGAAGTCATATATATCCCATAATCTGACTCCAAATTCTATCAATTTTCAATGCACTGGCATGAGTTCCTAAGAAATACATCTGAAACAAAATTTGCAGTAATTCTATGCATACTATAAGCAAACATGCAATTCTCACCATCAATTCCATTTTGATGCTGCAGAGTGCTCCGTTTCTTCCGGCCAATAGTTGAAGCACCAAAACAGTTGCAACCCATGCCTCTTTGCAATGAATCACTCCAAATCCCCCAAATCATTTAGTTTAAGCCTTATGCTCACAAAAATGAAGCACCAAATTCAAAATTCAAGCAGTAGTTCTCAACTCTGAACCAAGATATCAAAAAAACAGAGGAAATGAAATCAGTTTTACTAAAAATACCAGCTTGAAATCAAGTTTTGCTTGAATTCTCCAAAACACAAGTGAAATCTAACTCAAACAGGATAAAATGAATCATCCAGATTTGCTAAGAAATCTAATTACAAGAAATTTTGGATTGAAGGATTCAGAAAAAATAATTAAAGAGAATGAATTTACCAAAACTGTTGTTTGTTGGTTTGTTGTGGGAGCTGTTGAAGCTTTCTTGGCTTTGGTCAGGCAACGCGTTAGAAAGGATAGGGACTCATAGATTTGTAGGCAAAATTCATCTCTCTCCGGCTGTGTCTCACTTCCTTCTTTTGGGGAAAGCGACCGTTTATTCCGTTTTTTTATTTTTTGGTCTATTGCTGAGAGTCACCCCTGACAAACTTTTATACAATAAATCACTATTAAAATTAACTGGTCGTACCACGTGGAAGCCGATTTTGGGGATAACAACACTGCTAAATACGAACTAACAGTCGTTGTTACGACTGAAATGGATTTAATTTTTTTAAAATAAAATTTTAAATTTAAATTTTATGAATAAAAAAAATAAGTATTAGAAGAATTTTTTTTAATGATATCTGATTCAACTTGATTTCGAATTAATCGTGCTTACCAGTTATCAAGAGATTATTACAAAAAAAAAGAAGCTAAATATGAAGGTCACACATTGATTATTTTTAAAATATTAATTTTATTTAATTTGATGGTAAAAATAATTGATAATTAATTAAGAAAA